TTTCAGCAAGCACTTTAGCAATAGCAGTATGTTTCTTTGTAGTATTCCTCTTCTCAAGAGCAAATTGCTTCTTTTCTTCATCTAAAGCCTTCTGCTTTAGAGCAATGTTGTCAGACAATTTCTGAGTTTGGCTATGACACTCTTCTATGATGTCTTTCTTTTCTTTATCATTCTTGGCACGTTCCAAGATGATCAGATGCTCAAAATCCAAGATTTGCTTTAACAGCATTTTCGCGTTCAGCTCGAGAGAGTTTATCTTATTCTTATATGATAAGCGTTCAGCATCAAACTTTTTCTCTCTTTCAGAAACTCTTTTCTTCTCCTTTTCAAATTCATTTCTTAGCTCATATAAATCACTCTCAGATTTATTGAGTTTTGTAGTTAAGTTCTCACTCTCTGGATTAACTTTCTCATAAGAATTCCTCACTTTTTGCAAATCTTGAAGTTTGTTGAATAACTTCTTATTAGCATCAATCCAATCTTCAACTCTTCTTCATATTCTTTCCTTACTTTGTCTAAAGTACTCTCAAGTTCACAAGTCTTATCAAATAAAACCTTTTCAGAATTTTCTCTAAAGGTTTTATTTTCTCTTCATAACTCTTTGATAAATTCTTTATCACCAAAACTTTCATCAAACAAATTAAAATATTTTATTTCTAGTTCAAAAATTCTCTTTCTCAAAACTTTATTCTCTTTCTCAAATGAAACTGCCATTTTCAAACAGATTGATTTAAAGGATCAAATGCGTTGAAATCAGCTAAAAGAAATAAAAAACAATTAAGCTAAAAAAACAAAACAGAAAAACACAAAAACTGTTGAGAAAATAGAAGATCGACGAAAAACTGTAAAAAAATCAGTTAAAACAGTCAAAACTTTTGAAAACTGTTAAAAACAGTCAAAATAGTTAAAATTGATAAGAAACAGTTTATGCGATGGAAAACAGTTTAAGGATTCTCAAAGAGTTTAAAAAAAATAAAACAAAACAGATAAGAAACAATAAAACACACAAAAAAAAAACAGCTAAACAAATAAAATTTGATTCCAAATAAAATGAAATAAAGAGTTTGAAGCTCCATAGACTTGTCCAAGTCTTCATTCACTATCCTCTAATGTTGATGATTTTGGAGGCAGATATGATGATTATGATCGTATGCTGGAAGATATGTCAGATATTCCAGTAGAAGATGGTGATGAGGGAGCTCAAGTAGAAAATGCTGAGAGGTTGAGTGTACGGGAAGAAGAAAAAGATGGAGAGTGTGAGAGTGGAGCACAAAATGAAGATCAAGCTCCTATCCTAGCTGAAACATATAGTCGGGCACCCACATCTGCTATCGACATTGATCCGTTGAATGTTGGTATTGAAGAAGACATAGCTAGCCCATCTATGCACTTGCACACCCAACCCGACCACTCAACTGGTTCTCAACAACCAGTTGTTTCATTTCATCACGAGGATATAGCACATACTCTATCTACTTCTCACTCGGAGAATGTAGATATTGAAATAAGTAGGCCGCTGCCCCAGCCTACGACTTCGATTCTGTGCACCTCGAGTTTAGAGCCTATAAACTTAGGTACACAAGAGTCTAGAGCATCTGTTGCTCCCATTGCGGTTCTCAGTGAACTCGCCGGAACGACCAGAGTGGTGTCTATTGACCAACCACAAGGACCGGTCGGAAGTCCTACCAGTGCTACCATTTTGCCAACACTGAACATAGGCACAACAGTTTATTCAACTGTTGTCTCAACTGGTAATTTAAGTGATCCAGGAGTGATCTTACCAAACTTCGTGTCACGTGAATATTTGAACGATGCCCTAAAGGTTGTTCAGGATAACATGGAAGCTCAAATTTTAAGTCTCAAAAGATTGGTGAAGGGGAAGGAGCCAGCAGTAGAAGATCAACCATCTGCGCCATCACCACCGCCTGTACCTGAGCCTCCGACGGTACAAGAGCAATCGGTGGATGAGCTTAAATCCTTATTGTATGCTAAACTGATGTCATCACAAAACCCTGATGCGGAAGATGTAGATCTGGTTGGGCTCCTCAGACAACAAATTGATAATGATCCCACAGTTACAGCTTCATAGTTTTTGGCCTTTCAGGATGTGGTTACTTCTAGCTTCTTTAAAGTTAGTAAATTAATCACATCAAACACTCAAGCCCTTAAAAGTTTAATTGATGCCCTTTCTGAACGGGTATCTATCTTGGAAGAGACTTGCCGAGCTCAAGCTACCTCACTGAAACGAAGGTATGATGATCCGGACGATCCTGATCATCATAAGGGGGAGAGAAAAAGACAAAGGGTGGCTGAGTCGTGTACTCGTGCTCAAAGTGTTGAAAGAGAGCCAACTTCTCAAGCTGTAAACGTCGAAAGTTCTGTCCTGGAATCTACAAGGGAAAGAATTATTGAGCCAATAATTGTGGAAGATGATATTATTTTGGAGACAAATCCAACGATCGAGCCAATGGTTGAAAAGCCGGCGGACTCCACGGTAGGAACAAGGTTGTTACTGGATTTATCGGCCAATGTTGGTTTTAATGAAGCTTTTGCTAGAGAACTGGGTGGAGAGCAGGATTTTGGAGAAGATATTGATAAACATTTATGAATCAATTGGAGTATATTTTGACTTTGAAGCAAATGTTAATGATGAAGATCCTGTCTTCCCGTTCTAGGGTGATCATCAAACATTACCTGAATCCTCCAGTACAGTTGAAGTTGGTGCGTCCGATACTCCTAGAGCGGCATTTGGTCCGACCGATATATTTACAAAGAATTATGTGTCGTTTGCTATTTGTGCAAACTTTCCAGGCTATGACAGGGCAAGAATCAAAGAGCCTTATCTTGAAGATGTTTATTTTGGCATCTTCCTCCGACACCGCAAAGCTCTCAGTGCTGATAAGATTATTGGTATCCACAAAGAATCCAAAGATTATTGTATGGAGTATAAGCACTTCCTCAAAGCAAAGCGTCTCCCGATCAGCCAAGTTCAGACCAAACATCGAGTCGTGACAATCAAACAAATTGATGCTCAAAGACTTCTTAGATTCTGGTATCTAGTATTCACACTTACACGACAAGATGGTAAGGTCTGGGTGTTTAGCGAAGCTGATTTCTCCAACTTGTATTTAGAAGATCTGGAGCACATGTACCACGAAATCCGGAATGTGACGAACAGAAGAGAAGGAGTTCTTGTGGCTCTTAATGCGATCAAAGGGTTTATGCGGAGTCATATCAAGGGGGTCTATGGTTCTTGATGTCCAAATGGGTCTTGAAGACAATCAAAGAATCATTAACTTGAAGAGACCTGATCAAGAGCTAGAAGATATTGTAGCTTATCCGTTATACATAATTCTTGAACAACCAGAGTTCGGGGTGATATATGATGCCGAGGGTCAGATAAAGAAGTTCATGAGATTTAGTGATCTGAATAAACTTTCTGATGGTACTATTCGAATGGTGAGACGGGTGCTTGAAAAGAGGAAAGTTAATAATGATAAAGCTGTGGAGTCGGAGAGGATGAGTCCAAAGGATAGGTATTTGCTGATTAATGCCTTGAATTTGCTTGAAGAATAATTGTCGTATCGGAATGCACTGAGGAGGCTGGAGAAACTGCTCGGACTCAGAAAGACCAGATTTACAAGGTGTCGATCTTTGAATCCAAAGGGGGAGATTGTTGGGTTCAAGAATGTTCTTTAGAGTTGTATTCAAGTTCTCCCTTTGTAATGTTTTTGTATTAGTTAGGCTTTACTATTTTCGTTAGTATAAATAGGAATTAGTTCTCTAATTGTCATAAGTTCTGTTGATTAATCTGATTAGAGCTGTAATCAATTATGTAATTCTCTCTCAAGAAATCTATTGAAGATTTGGTGAAAATCTCTCTTTACTCTTGTTCTTAATCTTGATCTTGAAGATTATTTCCGATTTGTATGATTTGGGAACTTCAAAAAGACTGAAAAGTAAAGTACTGAAAGGTAGAAGACTGAAATTAAACTACTAAAAAATAAACACTAGCAATTAAAAGTATTCTAAAAAAAAGACATAAAAAATACTTGTATGCTAAGTTATGAACCTTACAAGACAAGTGAAAGCTTATAAGAAGGATGATTTGGAGAAACTTGCACTCTAAGTTACGAAACTTGCAAGACAAGTTTTGTTACTAAAAGCGAAGTGTTAGGAATGAAATTCAGTGTAAAATTGTATTCGTCTTGAAAAATAAAATTGTCTATAATTGTATAAAAGTCATCTTGTTTGACTTTACTTAGATTATTTGACTTTGACTTTGTCTTGTAGTTTGACCCTATATAAAGGGTGATGTCTTGCAATTTGAGTAGGAAGCTTCATTGTAAAATTTAGTACGTATAATAGAGGTTTGACCATCATTTGAATGTTTGACTTCGCCTCTCATCTCTCTCATATTGTTCTTGAAGAAAAACTCATATATGCCATTGTTGATTGAAGTTTTCAAGAAGATTGATTGTTTGGGACTCATAATTGGTATCAGAGCGAGATATGCAAGAAATCATGAAAAGAAAACGACGATTTTGAAGTTTTGTTGAAGAAATTTTATGGAAATCTTTTATGTGTTCTTCTTAATGTTCTTAGTGTTCTTATTTTTTTTAGAGTTTGATCCAAAATCTTTTCAAAATTTTGAGTTTTGATGTTAAAACAGTGATCAAAGTGTGTGTTTTAGAATCGTGAATCTTTGTTATTCATACGATTTCTTGATCTGATCATTCGTTTTTGAATTTTTGATTGATTTAATGTTTTAATTTTTTTTTCGTGTTCTTAATTTTTTTTAAAACCAGTGTTTTTGATCTTTTTTAGTTTTATATTTTTGTTATTTTGTGTTTTTGGCTAGCCCGACCGGTTTAGGCCCATCAGGTTTAGACTTTTGTTCAAAAGCCCATTCTTTTTCTAAATCGTCGCCTGTTTCTTCTTCCTTGATCGATTTTTTAACCTGCATGGTGAATGCTTTATTTCCATAGTCTGCTGTATATTGACCGATTTACAGTGATTGAATTTTGAGTGATTTTCTTGATTGGTTTAAGAACATCTTTATTGTGAGCGATTTAAGCATGGAGGTAAGCGATTTGTTGAGCGATTTACAGCTAGTATTGATCGATTTAGACTTATAGCTTAATCGATTTAGGAATCTGATTGATCGATTTAGAGATTAATTTTGAGCTATTTTACAGAATCTGCTTGAGCGATTTAGTTGACTGCTTGATCGATTTAGTTGATTGCTTGATCGATTTAGCTGTCTGTTTGAGCGATTTATAGAATAGGCTTGAGCGATTTGAGAAAGTGTTTGAGCGGTTTAGATAATAGGTTTGAGCGATTAAGGATCCAGATTAAGCGATTTAGGGTTTAATTCGCAGATAACTTGAGTGGTCAAGGGACTTGACAGCTTGATCGATTTTTACCTAAATTGATTGAGTATCCGATTCAGTCACCATCTCCAAGGTCGTCCGGACATCTTCATCGGATAACAGCAGTGCTTGACCGTATTTGACTACTTTGTACAAGGTTCTGTTCGATTTCATCTTTATTGCAAACTCATGTTCAATTTTTTTTAAATCACAGACCTCATTTGTCTGATTTAGTAAATCTTGCCCGCTCTTGTCTTAAATCTTGGTCAATCTAAATCGCTGACTCAAATTCATATGTTGAAGGCTGTATGGAACTTCACTGTAAATGTTGTTGTCGCTAACATCCAGTTGCTTCAAGTGATGGAGATTATTGAGCTGGTAACCAAGGTTTCCACTAATGTTTAGACTGTCAAGTTTGATTTGAATGATTGAAGAACCAACACAGGAAACGGGTTTGCTTTCTGGGATTATGAGCAGCAGCAAGATGGCATGAAAGGAAACAGATGGAGGATTTCATTTTAGGCAGACAGTTTGATTTTGAATAGGAGGTGAATAAAGATTAAGAGCTTCGATCGTCTGTTGTAAAGAATGTTGCTGGAAGATTGAAGTTTTTATGAAGAAGAGCAAGTGTGGAGTCTGTTGTGGAGTCCAAGAGTGGGGATATTAAGCAGAATAAGCAGCTGATGAAATCCCATGAAGCCTGGCGTTAATGTGAACCAACTGAAGTGCATTGTGAGCAAGGTTTTCAACAGGAAGCATCTGTGCAATTTTTTTTAATCTGAATGTTTAAAACGGCCTTCACTTTAAGCTTTGACTTTTAGGAGTTTTATTAGGCCTGTGAACTACTCACTGTCTTGGTCTATGCTGTTGATCTTAATACAGAATCACAGAGACACAGAGACACAATGGTAGATGGTCTATGCTGAAATGGTTTTCGAGGGGAATTTAGTGGAGTGCATGATATGGGAAGAATCAGCTGTTGTTACTGCATCAATCAATACTGTTGAGATGATTAATCCATTATATGAGCAAGCCATTTTACTTGTTAACAGGGTGTAATTGAGTTCAATACTTAGTTGCTTCATGTTTTCCTGTTTTGAATGCATTCGATTTTAAGTGTTGATAATCCTGATTTGACACACTTCAGATTCATTTTTTTTTTTCTGAGCAAGCACAAAAGCTTTATTCCTGTTGATTTACTGTTTTTGTACTGGTTGCTGCACTGGCACTTTACGATCCAATGAGGTTGTCCTAGAAGCTTCCCTCACTGTTTTCACAATTTCTGCAAGCATTTCACTGTTCAATTCTGTTGTGTTTGATGCATTTGGTTGTGTTGATTGAAGATTAGTAAACCTGTTGTGGAGTGATCTAGCTGTAGGAATTCTTTTGTGCAGGCAAATTTGGTCAAGTTTAAGCATACAGTGAAGAGAGATTTAAGATTGATTTGTGTATTGTAGTGTATCATCAATTCTGTAATTGTAATCGATGATTGGAAAATTGTTTTAGGCTTATATTTTCTTGGATTTATTTTTTTTTTAATTTTTTGATCATTTTATTTATTTATTTTTGTTCCGTGTTTAAACTGTTTGAGAATGCTCAAATTGTTTTCTGTCGCGTAAACTGTTTCTTATCAGTTTTAACTGTTTTTGACTGTTTTTAATAGTTTTAACTGTTTTTTAATAGTTTTTAATTGTTTTTAACAGTTTTGATTGTTTTTTACTATTTTAGACAGTTTTTCGTCATTTTTCTAATTTCTCAACAGTTTTTGTGTTTTTCTATTTTTGTTTTTGAGCTTAACTGTATCTTTGATTTCTTTTAGCTGATTTCATCGTATTTGATTCTAAATCAATTTATTTTTAATGGCATATTCATATGAGAGAGAGGACAAACAATTGAGAGAGAGGATTGTTGAATTAGAAAAGAGTGTAAAAGATTATAAAGAGAAATATATAAATATGTTTGATGAAAATTATGCAGATAAGGAATTCATTATGAATCTGCAAAGAGAGAATAGATCTTTGAAAGAAAATTCTGAAGAAGGTTCCTCGCAGAAGATAAGCGAACTTGAGAAAACCTTGGATGCAACTAGAAAATAGTTAGAGGATGAGATAAGCAGTTCAAATAAGATAAAACAAGATTTGGTCAATAAACTTTGTGAAGCTGACTTTGAACTAAATGCAGTAAGGAATTCTCCAGAAAAGAAAAGTAAAGAGACAGAAGAGCTTACAGAGAAACTTCATGAAGCTGAAAAGAAAGTTATTGATGAAAGGAAGTTATTGGAACGAGAGAAAGGTTTTAGAAGTGGAAAAGGATTTGAACATTGAGAGAAAGAAGTTTGAGGAAGAGAAGAAGAGAGTGATTGAACTAGAAAGAATATTTGAAGCTGAACGTATATCTTATGAAAATAAGATAAACTCTCTAGAGATGAACGCCAAAATGCAGTTAAAGCTAATGATCTTGAAACGGGCCAAGAATGATAAAGATAAGAAAGACATTACAGAAGACTGTCAGAGTCAAATACAGAAATTATCTGAAAGCATTGCTCTGAAAGCAGAAAGCTTTAGATGAAGAAAAGAAGCAATTTGCTCTTGAGAAGAAAAATACTTCAAAGAAGTATACAACAATTGCTAAAGAGCTTGCTAATAAGAAAAAGTGGCTTGACATCGCTTAGGAGAATGGTATGAGCAGCTCAGATGAAGAAAAAAGAGAGTTAATAAATCAGAATTGAAAGTTTGAAATGCTTCAGAAGGAGTTAGAGGTAAACTCCTGGATACTACAAGCAAATTGTCTGATCTGAAGACAGACCTTGAAACTGAACCGAAGATGAGAACTGAACTTAAAATTAAGTTTGATTTAGTTACTATTGAAAGAGACCAACTTTTACAGAAGGTCAAAGACTTTTCTTGTGCACAAAGCTCAATTGGTTCTCCATCACAGTGTAAAACTAGTTTATATGATTGTTCCAAATCGAACAATTATTCAAGCAGTCCTAAATCTACTGTTTCTAAGAACTATTCTCGTTCTTCTAATCAGTATTATCAAGGGTATGTTATCAGATCACCCAATAAATCTTCTAAGACTAAAAGCATTTGGGTTAATAAAGCTAATTCTGTTTCATATCATACACCTATCCTAACTTTGTTCTTCCTTGCATTGTAAGATCCACTAATGATCTGATCAATCTTAGCAAGAGAAGAATTATGTGCTCAACATAAGAAAAGGTTCAACAGGTGGCATGGAGATAACATCTATCAGAACAGTTGGAAAGGTAAAAACATGTATGATCACAATAACTGGCATGGGTCCTATTCTATTTCTGACCATCCTGTTCAAAGTGCTAAAAAGAATATATATCTAATAAGAATAGATGGTTTGGAAGTTACAACATACTCCAACCCGATACTAACAAAATAGGACCCACATTCATTTGGGTACCAAAATCTACTTAATCTGGTTTTGCAGGTGTGTCAAGTTTGTGCTGATCAGAATATCATATCAGTGATACACCAATGTAGGGGGAGTAGTAATCTATTCCAAACGAGGCTTTTGAACATTTCAGTTCAGGACCCATGCTTAACTGAGTGTGGTTTCTAAACACACAGTTTAGAACCCGTACTAAACATGTTTTCTTATTTTTTAAATTTTTTTGAGCTGAATTGAATCATTTCTATAATATACTTTCTAGGGGGAGTCTCTAGAAAGTTCAATAAATGTTTTTCGAAAAATAATTTTTATAGGGGAACGAGTACATTTTCTGATCAGGTATTTCCTGAGATTTTACTTGCGTAATTTCTCATCGTACATAACTCCAATACATGTTTAAGCTATTCTTCATATTGTTATTATCACGTCTCTAATACGAAAATCATTTTTCGGTGATAATACACTCGTTTGTATTCAAATGTTGATTTTTCTGATTCTTTTTCTCTTGATTGATWTACATTTTTTAATCAGAATCTGTAAACTCGTACTTACAGATCTTCATTCATTTCTCTCGTACATCGAATAATCTGATATTTGTCGCATCATTATTTCGTTAATTGTGCTTAAAGCCAAATATTTTGATCAAATTTTATCTAATCATTGTGCTTTATCTGGAATATTATTTTTGATCAACTGTTTGTGATCGATTGAGCATAATGCTAAATTTTAGGAGGGACTGAGTGCTTATCAGAAATACCTCAATGGAATGTCAGAACCGACAAACCTACCCATGAGGACAACCATATCTGAGTGAGCTTTATATACAAAAGGGTTTGTGTGCTGAGACTAAAATGAAAATGAGAGGGGTTGTTGCTATGAGACAAAAGAATTGACGAGAGTTGTGTCAGAATTAAAAGAACATAAGAATCCTTTTCCAAACTTCTAAAATCCGGGAATACCACACAATCTATTAGTTCTCAATTTTTTCGAGACTAATATTGAAAAAGGCAAAGCCCAGACCAATTCTTTTTATAACCCCACCAGCTACTCATTTATCTCTCAACATATAAGTGTTTCAATAACACTTGGGGTACGCATCTCATCATCTATCAATTTCTCATTCGGAGAAAGTTGATATTGAATCAGAAGGATATATGTCCCCCCTTCAAGTCTTTCTTGATCACTAATTGAGTCTGATTAATTTGTGTAGTCCACACGGTTTATCTTTTTTAGCTTAAAAAAAGCATACGTTACTTTATCTTTCTACACTACACAGATTTTGCATTTTATATGTTAACTTCCCGAAACATTAATAGATATGCTATTATTAAGCTATCGATGATTGAATGGAAGACCTGGTGAGATGAG